TAATTAGTTGTTATATTCACAAAACTGCTGACATAAGAAATAATAGTTAAAACCCTACTCTTTACAAAGATGAATATAGTAAATTAAATAATTATATGTAAAATAGAATTCTATTTATTGTTTACTGTAATATTCTATTCTATGTCTTAACATTTATGTAATTGTGTTTATTTGAACTATACCGGCTAAACAAATATTTTAAAATACTAAWTTTTTTTGTATATATCCGTGTGTAATAATGATTTCTAGAGTCTGCAAAGAGTCAATAATGTGGTCTGACCATGATTGTTTGAGTTTGTAACACATTGTAATATTTTTACTAAGGCTATATACTTATGAAGTTTCAATGAACATTTTTAAATAATAATTTTTATTTTTTATTATAGTAGTTGTGTGGTAATATATGCATACATATGTTGATATTGTTATATTAATATATATATAATAATATATAGGTGAAAAATTGACTATCACTGTAGAGGTCATTGTGTGGCTATAGAATTCGATACCCATTGTTTAAATTATTGTACATTACCTTGTATAGACAACTTATAGTTATTATATTTTTTACATTAATATTATAATAGATATTATTAATGGCCTTCATTATATTTAGTCATAAAAAGATGGTATCAATTTTACCAATATTATTTTCAGTCTATTCTACTCAACCGTTACACCAATATTATTGTGAATTTTTAAAATTGTAATTTAATATAAACTATTCTTAAATAGAATTTTTACTTTATTAATATACTTTATATTTGTTTAGTTTATAAAATGGCTCAAGGACCAGCTTTAGTTTGTAGACTTTTGGCTTCATCAGTATCTGTTGCTCATAAAGCAGGTAAAATAATCCGTGATGTTATGCAAAAAGGAGATTTGGGAATAATTGAAAAGGTTAATATTGTTATTTATTCAATTTTATTAATTATCTTAACATTCAAATTACTATATTTAGAAGAAAAAATTTTGTTGAATTATTAATCAAATATTAATTTGAACGATTAATTGAAATTCTAATTGCTTAACTTATATATGTTTAGGGCGARAATGACTTGCAAACTGAAKCTGATAGATCTGCACAACGGTGTATTGTTGCATCTTTTAAAAATCTGTATCCTAAAGTGAATATTGTGGCAGAGGAAGTAGATAAAATAAGTCAAAATTTAGATGTTCCTGCAGATTGGCTAATTACTGATCTCGATCCTAAAATATTGGATTTAGAATGTCCAAAATCATTACTTGATGTTACAGAAGATCAAGTTAGTGTTGTTAAATATAATATTTACACTAAGTAATTAAAAAATATACTATCTTAGTCCTAAAATTAAATACATTTTGAATGCTTGTAATTTTCCTTAAAATATCAWTACATTTTCAATAATACTCGGATACTCTAAAATATTGCTAAATCTTTAATAAATTTTAATCAAGAGTACTTCAGTATTTGCATAATTATTTTACTGTTCTATACTTAATTAAAGCATTCCCTCCATGTGGCTCTTAAAGTATTTGATATGGTTTCCTCAGATATTATTATTGTCAACATAAACATGGTTGAGATAAATCTTTATTTATATATTGCAATGCTTAGGTTACAATTTGGGTAGACCCWTTAGATGGAACGTCAGAATTCACAAAAGGTAAATCATTTTATATTATATTGTTTTCCATGAATATTGGGGATTGACTTTTAAAAATGTATAATTACTGTTCTATTTTATAGGTTTAATAGATCATGTTACAATATTAATTGGAGTATGTGTTAATGATGAAGCTGTGGCTGGAGTAATTTATCAACCATTTTGGCAAAATAGTGGTCGAGCACTTTGGGGTCTTGTTGGCAGTGGTGTAGGTGGGTTYGAGTTAAAAGAACCCCCTCAAACAAAAAAAGTGTATGTAACCACTAGGAGTCACTATGATAAAGCAATAGAAACATTTATTGATGGTTTAAAACCTTGTGAAGTTATACGAGTTGGTGGTGCTGGAAATAAGGTATAATGCTGCAACTTATTGATTATTATTATTAGGTAGTTTTAATAATGAAATATGGATTAATTTTGAAAACATATTATATAGGTGCTTTATATATTAGAAGGAAAAGCACATGCTTATGTTTATCCAAGTGCTGGTTGCAAACGATGGGATACGGCAGCACCAGAGGCAGTTCTAAGAGCAGCTGGTGGTGAATTGACGGATATACATGGAAATAAATATAGCTATAGCAAGGAAAATGAAAAAGACCCTTTAAATAAATATGGAGTATTTGCCACGGCTCCTTCTTATAACCATACTGAATTCATGAAACTTATTAGTGACATTCAGTCAAAAATGACATGAGTATGTTCTATGAGTACATGTATTTAAAATGCAGGTGTTAAGTAACAATTAAAATACAAACACTATTAATTTAATTTTTATCAATAAAGTATACTGGACAACATACATTCCCAACAAATATMAGGTGTATTTAATGTATTACAATAATTTTGATTAAGTAAATAACTTTAATCTACAAATTCTAATTTAATAGTTTGGTTCTCATTTTTTCAAACACATGCACTCATACAATATTGTAGATATTTATAGCTTGTATTAAAAGCTTTATTTAAACTTGCTAGATGTATTTTATTTGTTGCATTGAATATTTTATTTCATTTATATGAACTTAAAATTATTAATTTAGTTTCAAGTACAAAATATGGAAATGTTTCTAGAAATATTATTTTGTTTTTGTCAAGKKGTTTTTAACTGGTATATTATAACTCTTTTGTAAATAAAGTTAAAATTCAGTATATATAATATAATTAGGTTTTTATAAACTTAAAGGGTTATAATGTTGAGAATAGACATCTCAAGAGTTCCTGGTATTAAATGTTGTATTACCTGTCATTCCTTATGTTTTTTTTTTTATACAACCGCAATAATAATAAAATCTGTTGATTACTTAAATCATAGTTTTAAAGTTATCTTAAGTTATAAATTAAAGCTTTAATTGATCACAAAAAATCATATTGGTTTGAAAGTCAAAATGTATAATTTCTTAATTATTATTATCCTACTTAATTGGCAGAACACAATTAAGTTAAAATAAATTATGCCTTAGTCTGTCTTCCACAAGGACAAATATACTGCAATTGGATCATTTCACTGTACTAATTTATATTATAGGTAATATATAATAAAAATTATAAAATTGTCTGTTAAATTTTAACATGCACGCCATTCCATAATAGTGATTAGTGAATACTACCAAAATAATATCTGTTATTCTGACTATACTGCTAATTATTTATAATCTACCCGAACCCATCTATTTCTTATATTATACTTTATACAAATGCCAATACTGTTAAGTTTGACAACTATATGAACATATTATTTACATTAATAAATTTAGATTTTAAATTATGTGTCAATTTATTTAAATGTTAAAGTAATTGTGAATTGTAATAGTTATAGTATTATTTAAAAAAATGCTAACTATATTAATTATATAACACTTGCCTTGGGAAGTAAATATAAATTGAACTTATTAAATATCTAATTAAACAAATAATTGTGAATTGTGTTATGCTTTTAATATTTTTTTATAGTACATGGTATCAGCTAAATTTATGTTTTTGTGGAAAATATTATACATTTATTTTTAATTGTTATTAGTTAAAACAATCTATAAAATTAACTTAAAAAATAATTTTCATTAAATAATTTGAAAGTGTTTTTAGTTTTTTTATTCAAATACTTCTTAATTGAGTATTCTAATACATATTTTAAATACTTTTCAAAAKAAGTATCTGTATCTGTACTTAAATATTTTTAAAAATTATCTTT